CCCCCTAAGTGAGGTTCAAGACACACTTCTAGACGAGTGACGGGTTCTATACATTCGGGTGACCGAGTAGCCTTCGTGGTCCCTCGAGAATAAATATAACTGAGTCTAGTCCCATACGAGTGATTGCGGTCCCCCTCACTTGAAATTTTCTTTTGTTTTATCGAAGTTTTGGGACGGAGCACTCGTGTTACTTTTCTTTTCTTTCGGGATTTCCCCATGAGTTTTGAGGATTTTCTTTCACTTGAGTCTCTTTCGTTGATTTTCTCGAGTTTTTCAGCTTTTTCTCGGATTTCTTGGACGACGTTTTTATCCAGATTTTGTTTTTGGAGATGTATTTAGGTTTGTTATGCTTAAGGGACACCGGATCTCACAGGCATACATGTTTGCTTTACATTTTACAGCACTTAATTTTCCTGTTTCTACCTGTTGTTCTTCCTGTATAAAATGTTACACTTGTCCTGTTTCTACTTGCTACTATTCTCCCTGTATAGCATGTTACACTTGTCCTATTTTTACCTGCTACTGTCTTTCATGTATAGCATGTTGTACTGCTCTTGTTTCTCCCTACTACTGTTTTACTTGCATGCTACTGTTCATTCCTTTATGATACGCTTTATATTTTATAACTTTAAACACGTTTACCCTTTTTACATAGAATGTTTAGAGAACTACAACCATAGGGCCGTTTGATTTGATACTATAACCGGACACCCTAGAAAACTTAAACTCGTCACGTCGAGGAGCTTGGAGCTAGCGCGGTGGGCAGCACGACCATCTTCAACATATGTCAGCTTTTTTTACGAATGCATCTAAAGCTACTTGCTTTTTAGATGATCCCTATAGAATAGGGGATTTTATCAAATCTTTCTAGTCTAGTTACTTCGTTCCCTATTTCTTTTCTACTCGTGGGATCCTAAGGAAAATAATTTTGTTTCTACCGAGCTCAAATAAAAAGTCGAGGGTTCTAGTAAACCAAAACCATCATTTTATAGCTATTTTGGCTTTAATCCCCCTTTTTAAGCGCAAAAATTGAAGATTTAGTTACGATTGAAAGTTTTGTACTATTATCCATAGATCTTTTCTTCATACTCATTTAATTGGAAGAATTGAACCAATCAAAAAAATTATGCTTCTCGACTCCATAATACAATTTTTTTATGAAAATTATGATTGTCTTTTGGATAGAAATCGTGATAATGTATATTTTTTCCTCAAATGTGCTATTGAGGGATAAAGTATTAAATCTTTTTAAGAAATAAAGTTTTTGATCGGAATATGAAATATGAAAAAAAAGGAAAGACCCCTTAACTTTTGAAGTTGTTAATAGAACGAATCACACTTTTACCACTAAACTATACCCGCTACATATTTATTATTGGATATAAAAGGGCCTTTTGTCTAACAAAGTAATTAGATGTAGTTAAGATAGTATCAGAATCATGAAAATTTCAGCATTAACACGTATTTTGTTCCACCGCGGGAAAACTTGGAAAAAAAAAAGAATAGGTAAATAGCAAAAAATTTAGTCAAATTTCAATAGTGTACTAAAGTTAAAAGTTAGAAGTATTTTATTTTTTGAAACCTCTCTTCATTTGAACCATTAGATTTTATGAATTTGGGTAAATTGGGCCTCAAACTTTCAAACTTGTCCTTTGCTTTGAACAAGTAATTTATTTAGAGTATCATTTTAGATTTTATAAATATGTGTGTTTTTTTTTTTTTTATATTTTTTTAAAAATATATATATATATATATATATATATATATATATATATACACGTAAATTAAAACGTCCTTCCGAAACGGGCGACGGGATTTCGATTCCGGCTGCCGACAGCTTCTTACGGGCGACCCCCCAAACAATCTCTTTCTTTCTCTTTTTTGTGCCGACACTAACACTAATCAGTGAAGTTCTACCAACACAATTTCCCATATTAAGAATCAACAAGTAAAAATAATTGAGTGTGCTAAATAAAAGACATGCATTGGGATGAAGAAAGCATCCAATACTTTATCATGATTTAGGGTACGTTTGGGTTGGTTGCAACTTTTTATAAAGATGGTTGTACAATTGTGGTGGAGAAAATTTCTTAGAAAGTTGAGGTGGAAATTATAATATCAGGCAACAACTTCAGCCACACACTTTAATAGGTCGGGTTATAGAAACAACTTTCTTCCATAGAAATTTCTAAAAAATAATAATCAAAAAAGAAATTCCCCAAACAAAGCTATGGTGGGGTCTGAAACACAAAGTAGGCAAAAAGTTGTCCCAAACAGACCCTTAGTACATGTTAAAATAGCCCATACAATTCATTTCAAATAAGTAAAATTAGTGAGCATCACCACCACCGCATGACCAATATCATCATTGCCATGAGTGATATTGACTGGCCTTAGAAGAGTTGAATGTCAGACTTTGTTATTATTTCACTATTCAATCTACAATTTTATCGTTTACTTGATAAACGAAACATGATAAGTTCCATAAAAATATAAAATTAATATAAGGCTACTTTTGTACCCTCAATGAAGCAAATACTGTTGCAATGCGTGTGGCCATAGAATGTATAAAGGCATTGTGCGTCTGTAAAATTTCTGCATTATCACCAAACACATCCTCTAAAGCCCTCTCATGGTCAGTAATGAAGCCCTGCAAAATAGATGTTATAAAAGGAGACTGGAGGCTGTATTAGGAATTCTAAATCATGAGTAATAAGATTATCCATCTAAACCTACTGCTCCTAGGTCAGATGCACAAAAAACCGCAGAAAGGACCTAAACAGCAAGTAAAAGTATAAAAAAAATGTAAATAAATAAATTATGATTTAGTACCTGACTGTCAATGGCAAAGTATTCCAGGTTCATCTGCAAGAGTTCCTAAAATTAATGAAGTATGAAAACTTCCAACAAAGCTATAAAATGCCAAAATCTAATACGTTGAACAACTGCCTGTCATGATTATAATATACATAATTTTAACCTCACTCAGTGCACCTATGCGAGGAAATACACTTCCATCATTCTTTATGTGATAGACTAATTCTCTAGATATCGGAGAACTGAAGAAAACAAAAGCCCTGAAACCGAGAAATATCAAATTTCAATAAGGTGGTTTTCTGTGGATGAAGCTGGAATTCAGCATATAATCAACATTTGCATCTCACGTTTACCTTTTATACAAAGGAGATCTCCCAGACATATCAGACAGGAGCATGGCAACGCTGTATCAGAAATTTCTATAAGGTCAGAAGTCCAGTAAGCAAATAATATTATTCAACAATGGCAGGAAAAGATACAGTCTGAATTCAGCCTCATTCCACTAACTTTGAATACAGAGTATTGAATCGAGGCTTGAAACAGGCATAAAAAAAATCAATGATAAAATATAAATATTAGTCAACTTGTTCTGCAATTTTAATGCTGTGAGAAACCATACCAAAACTTACCTCAACATTAGGCTAAAGACAAAGCACATAATAAAGCTCTTTGGCAAAAATTTAATTTACCAAGAAATAATAAGTGAAAGCAATAATTTCGGATGCGTTTGGGGCAGCTTTTTTGCTGCGGCGCGGAACAGAAATGCAGCTTATGGGGACGAAGGCTCGACGCCGCATTCCACGTTTCTTTCCTTCGCTATTACCTAGCTGCCCTCCTCTTCGTATCCATTCATGTGGGTTGACGCTGCTTAGGGATTTTTTCTTCCATTGCATTCTTCATTCCCCGGCACCTGTGGCAAGGGATCATTGCCGCTCCTTCTTCCTCTGATACCTTCTAACTTCAATGTATTTTTTCTGTGATTTGTGGTCTCTGCCTCGGTAGCTTTGTTCTTTGCAGTTTGCACAAAAACCCAATTGAATTCATTTCTTCATTTTTTATGTGAACTTCTTTGGAAAAATTGCTATGTTGGAAAAGAGGAATTTGAAAGAACCTAAATTTGTTTTTCTGTGAACTTTGGAGAAATTGATGTCTCAGTGTCGATGTGATTTCTCTTTGTGACTAGCTCTCTGCCTCGGTTGGGTTGCTTTTTTCTTGACTGGGTTGCTCATTGTGGTTTGGTTTCTCTTTCGGTTGGGTTGCTCCGTATATGCTCATTGAATTTTGGTGAAGAATACCTATGTGAATTGTTGGTTTGATGAATGGGAGAACCTAATTTATATGTATGAAGAATCTCTTTTGGTGTGTTTACCCTTTGCGGTTTACGACCTCTGTTTTATGCTAAAAGAATTTTAGGTTTGGTTGCTCTTTGTCTCGGTTGGGTTGCTCTCTAGCTCGATTAAGTTGCTCTCTGTCTTGGTTGAGATGGTTCTTGTCACACTTGTGATTGACTTTTGGATGGAGAAGTGTGCTATGAATGGGAAGAAAATATATAACTAGTCATGCACATCATTTTATCATATTCATTTGTATTATTTCAAAGAGTAATCTGATATGAGTAGTTAAATTAACATAAGTAGATATTAATTTGCTCTCTATCGTGAAATGATGTCTAGGCTACGTCTCATAGAAAAGTTCTAATTTCAAAGATCCATTGGGTTTCATAAAAAAAATTTGTTTATTTGTTGAAAAGATGACTTATTGAGAGTGATGATAGTATATTCTTCTTTAAAGGTGAATATTTCATTAAATAATGCCATTTTTTGAAAGAGAAGTTAAGAAGCTTATTGGCATTGTAAGATGCCTCCTATAATCTACTAGAAAGATGTTGAGTGTTAATCAGATTGTAGTAGTGGTGATAGCCCAAATCGCTAAAACTTTTTTTATAGTGGCTATTATTTTGTTTGTAGATTTGTTTCTCATATGAGATTTGGCCCTTTGAATTATTTATGAGGCTATACAACATCCTTAACATCTCTTATGTTTTTTCCTCTTTCTCTCCTTGGTGGTGGAGGTAGTGGTAGGCTAGTGGTGGTGGTGTTGCGGTGGTGGGGTGGTGGGGTGGTGGGGTGGTGGTGTGATGTTATATTGGTGTAAGAAAGGAGGTGTTTAGGGCACATATCCTGATGTTATTCTACAAGATATGCCCACATATCATTTAGGTGGTGTTATTGAAAGGACATTTGGAATTTGGGAAAAAAATGTTATTCGACGAGATATGCCCACATATCATTTCAATAAGTGAAGATTTTGGTCACTTAAATGACTCCACAATTAGATTCGTTGGCATCCTTCACGTGGTCATATTGACTTCAATAGTGCAGATGAAGATCAGTCACATATCTCTATCTAGGGCAATCGATATCACAATTTGAATTTGATTTACCTGAGTCTCGTACTAAAATTGGGGAAGGTGCTGGGGAGATGAAGTTGAGAGAGCAAATTACAAATAAAATAGTTAAGAGTGAAATGATGTTGTGTGCTACTTATTTCTTATTTATGTATAATGTGATGGGAAAATGTTTAATGTTTATTGGAATGACGTTTTATGCAATGATGTTCATGTGAAATATCATTTTGATGCCTCAGTCATTCTGCGTGTATTTTTTCCCACATAAATGACCACCTAAGCAACCGTGGGTTTAATATTTTTTTTTTCTTGCATTCTTTATTTTTTATTTTGAGTTCTATGATGAGGTATATGACCTTAGAGACTCTTCTAGATGACCTATATGTTGCTATGAAAATTTACATGTTTGAAATCCCCATCAAGGCAACCAAGATCTTCTTCTTTTTAAGTCACATGACTGTTATGACCTTTATGGTGATATGCTTCTGTGACACCTACGAGGTTGGTATTACACGATTTAAAAGCAACCAAGATCCCTTTTCTTTAAAGATTTTTGTCTTCTTGTAGTGTCAGATTATTCGTCAATTTTTCTTTTGCTCTGAGCCCTCACAGGTTTATAAATCTATAATTATGTATTTCTATTATCCTTATTAGTTAATGTTTCATCTAATTGTTTGTGATTTGTGGTTTAAACATTCAGAAAATAAGAGAGCTTGAGGACTTCCAGTCCCCCAGAGTCTTGTGCTGCAACTATAAATTGCATTGCTCTCTCATACATCACAAAAGAAGCATAGTTATAAGAGAAAATTTTACAAGTGTCCAAGGAATAGATCAGCATAGGACTATGACTTCTTTAGGTAGACGGATTCGTTAAACGATTTCACCTAAGATAGTGATCAGGCATGGAGAGTTAATTTGAAGAGGAAGTTCTTATAAATTTGTTCGTCTGCATTTCAAATTCAATATTATGATAATGTTAATTGTTGTTTTAATATTTCTGTCTTTTATTTTGATTATTGTATTACTCACTGTTAAGAAGGAAATGATGAATAATCATGTAATACAAATATATTTGGGCTTCAATTATAAAACAAGATCAAGTGAAACTTTTTTTAAAACTAAAGTATGCGCACATGGTGAATGTGCAATATCCTAGTGTAAAATAAACATTATAATGAAGAACAATGGGAATAAAAATATTATGAGATGAGAAAATAATTCAAATGGTCGCTAGATTATGTATTGGGTGTCCTTTTAGTCCCAGATCATTTGAAATGCCATATTTAATCCTTGACTCCTCAAATATGGTCCAAATTGTCCCACAATTAGAATCATTGTTTAATTTGAAAAAAAATTCGAACAAATTAGATGGATGGGGTGGCTATTAGGGTACTTCTCACCAATCAGTGTAAGAATTTCATTTTCTGAAAATACCATATTTCCTAACTTATTCATGAACTTCACGTGAAATTTTCATCAAACAATTCTAACTATGGGATTATTTTAAATCATTTTTGAGGAACGAAGGACTAAATTGGACAATTTAAATAGTTTGGAACTAAAAAAACCAAGCCCAAATAAGTCAGAGAAAATTTTAACCATTTTACCGAATGAAACCAACAACTCAGCCTTTTTCATGCAAAGCTTGAATTAATTCAAGACCTCATGATCACCAAGTCTCAACGCATTTACAATACAAAAGCTATCAGTAAGTAATAAATTCCCTTTATCTATATCTGAAATATGTAATATCTGGACATAAAAAAAAAAAGGCAGATCTAAAAGAGTATTACAAATTTCTTTATCAGGATATCACTTAGGAGAGAGACAGAAGGTGCAAAATCTTCCAAAATAGCTTCTGTTCTGTTCATACGACTAGTTAAAGAGAACCATATTTCTTACATTAGAAAACCTATATCAGGCAAAAATAACTAAAAATCCCAAGTGTTCTTGTTGTAGTAAACATTCATGAAACTAAAGAAGACGAGCAAATTACTGAAGTGTGTGAACTTGTTTTCAAAAAAAAAACTCCTGCTTTCATAATCAAGCCCAGCTTGATGTTCCAAAGGAGGGATAAAACTAAATTGCAACAATTGGTTGCAATTTTGGATGAATCCAAATAAACTTCCATCACCGTGTTTTAAACTTTTTCTTCTCTAAAATTCCTTCAGTACTTTCTGTAATGATCATTACCTGGACTTTCCATGCAGAACGTGTTAGTTTTCGCTCTTGTTAGCCTTCAGATGAAGAACAAACTCGGCTTCTTCTGCTTCAGAAATAACATAGTAAAACTTGCAAATGCTCGTGCTGGCATCTTCACAGGGAGACTAAACTATGCTGTTCTTTTATAAATGAAAAGACTAGCAGTATTCCCAATTGGAGGTCAATACTGCATGATACTAGAGTTAACCAAATCATAGTGAAGAAACAAATATTATTGTTGAATTCAAATAAAGAAGTATAAAAAGCAGCATAGAAGTTTGAAATCAAAACATACAACAACAAAATACTGACCCTAGGGTTGAAACTAAATTGCAAGTGGTGCCGGTTAGAGGTTTGGACCTCCAAAGAGGTAGCAAAAGGGGCGGTTGGTGGCTGGATAATGGGGTGGCAGCAAGGGAACGATGGCAGCAGCAAAGGAGAGGTGAGAAACTGCAGGGACGGCAGAAGGGTTGGCCGTCCAGGGCGGCGCCAGCAAGGCCTTGGGACGGGAGTGGCAGGAACAACAGGGGTTGGCTGTCCCGGGGCACTGGAAAAAGGGAAGATGGCCTGACAGGCTAGAAACTGCAGGGAAAACAGCAGCTCCATGCTGTTTTGGGGGCAGGAGCAAGGAAGGGTGACGGGAATTGATGCGGGAAAGAGGGGGAAGTGTGGAAGAAGAATAAACATCGCCTCGGGAGTGAGATATAACCGGAGCTCCACTCAAACACTTGGATACAACCCTATAAGAGAAGAGGAGAAGCCGACGGCTGTTCCAATACAAAACACACTAAAAACTGAAACACTAAATATTAAAAAAAACAAATAAATAACCTTAGGATAACTAGGAATTTTTAAAAACAAAATAATAAGTGACAAAAATTAAAAAATTAAAAAACCCTAGGATAACTAGCAATGGGCCCCTCTATTGAAAAGAGGCGGCACCTCTTTTGAAATAGCCTGCTGATCCATTAAAAGACCTGGACCAGTTCGGTCCAGGCGTCCAAACGTGACTCCCGTGTCCATTCAGGCATTTAACCCACAACGCCAACCGCCTGCATCACTACATGTCAAAGCTAAGTACTAAAGGCCTCGGATGCAGCTAGATGAGAAAATCATTAATCTCTAAGTCGACTAAATCATTAAGTTGTTAGAATTCAAACATATGGGACATTTACATACCAAACAATTCTTATGCATTTACATATCTAACACCTAAACTTTCATATTTACATTCATAACACTCAAACCTTTAATATCACATTACAAACACCACTATTACTATCTTTTTAAGATAGAAATAATCCTTTTTTATGCAAGTGTCTATAATACCAAAGTGTAACAAATGTAAATATCAAACATTAGGTGCTTGACATATAAATACATTAGAATTGTGTGGCATGTACGCAAATACCCTTATCTCTTTTTATAAATTTCTCTTCAAGATATCAGTTCAGTTATCATTTACAGAAGTAAAAACTAATAAAAAATTATTACACACAAGGAAATCATCAACATTCCAGTCACTGTAGATGATTTAATCATGCATAACAGTCAACCAAAAAACAGAGGCAAACATAAACAGTAAGAATAACCAAACCGGGAATTATAAAAGAACATTCAGACGGAATGTTACTTTTCTTTGGTAGGCTGTACAAAATATATAGCATCCATTGACGGCATCGGTTGCCTTCGTTTGTAAATATCTTCCACCACTACAAATAAAAAGGAATAAGGCAGAATTATTCTCTTGCCTTGAATGAAAGAAATGCTCTAGGTAAAGATGTCCAGAAGCACATTGGGAGTTTTCTCTGTGAAAACCCATTATAGAAGATAACTCACAGTATAATTCATTTTTAGGGAAATTAAAATAGAGAAAAGCATTAACTTGTGTGCATAAGGAAAAGCTGAATTAAACATTCTAATGTTCACCAAGCTTAAAAACCACTGCTAAATTTATAATTAATGGCTAAAAAACACTTCAGACAATGGAATGGAGAGGTGACAAAAAAAAAACAAACCAATCAATGTAACTGTGATAGTAAGAAAAAGCACAATAAATTCAAAAATAGGCTATCTCAACTTACATGATACCCCTTCCTCGGTGATATCGGCCATTTTACAAGAACATGACATGATTTTGACCGTAAGTTTATCCATGATGAGTACCTATAATATTAATCATCACAATCAATTAATTAAATACAAGGCTTAAGACCAAGAAGAGGTGTTCCATAAAATAATTATCTAGAATATTAAAAAAAGCATGAAAAGGTAAGAAGACATTCCGAGTGATATTCCCCCAATCAAATGGGACTTTTCAGCTCCTACAACCACCCATCCAGTTAACAATGTTCAATTTATCCACGGCATGGTGCATGGTGCATGGTGCACGTGCCTCCATCACCCCCATCCTTCTAATTGTAATTATGGTCCGTGTTTTTAATAATGATTAGGATAAAGATAAGTTTTGAACTTTCTTCATCGCGACGCCTTTGTCACTTCCAAGCCCAGCAATCTGCCCTGGACCATTAGTGGTGATTTCAATAATATCCACCTCAGTGAGAAGACTAATGGTGAACATATTCCCTTCAAAGTTATGGATAGGTTTGAACAAGCTCTTTCCTTCTATATTCCCTTCAAAGTTATGGATAGGTTTGAACAAGCTCTTTCCTTCTCTGGTAATGATGAGCTCCCCTATGTTGGCCAACCTTTCTCACCAAGTCAAATAAGAACCATTTGAACCCAACTCTTGCAAGCTTGATTGATGCCTCGTTTATAGAAAATATATGCACCATCACCTCAATACTTTAGGGAATCATGCACGAGCCCTTCTACAATTATGATTAATATTATGATTCACTACCAACACCACCTGAAGCAGAAGTCCAATTTCAAGTTCAGAAATTACTGGTCCTCTCTTCCTAGGTTCATAATGTAATCGCCAATGCTTGAAGAATCCATAATAAATGGATCCTATGTTTGTTCTTTGCAAAAACTTTAAGAGCTTGAAGAAGTCAAAAGAAGACTTAAGATAAAGATTTCTGGCTTTTCCTCTAAAATTGATGACAAAATGGGTAAACTTAAACATATCTACTCCAATATGGAAACTGTCCTTCTTAAAAGTGCTATGATGTTTATGAAGAAAGGACAATGTTCTTGTCAGATATCACTCCAGTTTTAAAAGTTACTCGTTTAAACAAGAACAAAAGCCCACTAGTTGTATAAAGGCATATAACAAGTTTTTGAGTCATAAGAACAAAAACAAACTTATAATATGATAAGGTCTCTTAATTTGAAGAATAACAAAATATTTACACACAAAGAGATTGCTAATGACACCATCAAGTTCCATGATCAACGCATAAATAGCAACTATGCCTCCTAAGTGCAGACATTCATTGCGGGAATAGTATCTCCAATGAATGTACCAGCAATCTTTTTTAGGTCTTGCCAGTGGATGCTAAAGAAGCATTTTATTTCTTTTTTCTTTCCTTGAACGAGTCCCAAAGAACTAATGGCTTTACTGCTAAATAATTGCAATTTACTTAGGATATGGTAAGTCAATGCATTACTACTGTTGTCCTCTTCTTTTTATCTCCAGGAAGAATTATTAGCCATGTTTTTTATCGCCCTTATTCCTAGGTTTCTAAGTTTTATCCTTGAATATAGATCAATTTCTTTGTGCAACTTCATTTACAAGGTCCCTTCATTTATTTCTTCCACTTAAGGAGTTTTTCCTTTTGTTAGGCTCATCAATGAAAACATTCGAAAGCCTTTTAGAAAGCTATTTCATCTAAGAATTTTTATGCCATAATTTACACTTTCAAAACTTTAGGCTCTCTTATACAAAGGAAGCATGATAAAGTCTTTCTCACTAAGTTTATTTGTTTCATCAAATATTATATCAACGAGGTCTCCTGTTCTATCAGCTCAATAGTTCTTTCGAACGTTTCTTCCTATCTAGAGGGTTGAAGCAAGATTTCCCCTATCACCGTATCATTGTCTTTTGCTATAACGAAATATCTTATATGCTTGATCAATCTTATGTTAAAAAGCAATTTGATTAAAGGTCTCTTTGGGGCAGCTGCAGCTTATTAATAGACAGTTGTGCAATAGCTACCCCAGAAAATTGTTGCACAGAATATGTTGCGAATAAGCTGACTTGTTGTTTGTTTTTTACAGTTTGAAAATAACTGTGTGACAGCTGTTTCTGAACAAATGACATTTTTGTCCCTCTGCAGTACAAATAATAATTCATACACCTCACTTAACAGTGGGTATCAAGATTGCTAAAAAAAGATTATTAAAATTACATTTAAAAATATGTTGATGTAATTTTTAAAATGCAGACGATGTATGTCACTGTCGATCAACTTTTTTATTTGAAAATTTAATTTAAATATAAAGTATATAGTTTGGGTTTTGAAAGTAGTATGTTTTAATTTTTGAAAAATGAGACCAAATGGATCTCATTCGTCCAATAGTTTGCATAATCGTGCCCGATATCGCGAATACTACACCCTCCCGAAAGATAAGTGTATACCTCGGTGATAGACCCAATCATGCAAACTAAGAGATTTGTGAAATTCATTTGGTCTGCGAACTTTTTATGTATGACCGATAAGTTCTCATATCTAATACAAAGATTAAATAAGGTTTATTTTATCTGGGTTCCAAGTTCCTTATAAAGGCAAACCCCTATAGTTAATTATATCTCAAATGACGGGAGTCATCTCAAATGACGGGAGTCATTTGAGAAAACTCTAGATAATAATCAGTGGTTCTAATCTTCAAGAATTCAAGGTTTGTTTTCACGGTAGAACGTGAAAAAACAAGTGAGAGTGGCTCAAGTAGGAACAGTTCTTTCAGGAGTCCAAAGGAAGTAAAGGGTAGGGGACGTCACAGATCCTGAGGAGGAACATCGATGACTTCCCAAACTATTCAACTGTGCGGATATATTTTAGAGAGGATGTTATTTGAATGTTTAATCCTGTCAATTTTATTATTGGGGACTTACACTTGCATAATAACTGGTTATGCAAATAGCCCACAAAGATAAGAGGTTTTACGTCGTTCTGGATGACAACCTCGGAACCTAAGGTGAATTAGGACTTACTGCACAACATAGTTGTGCAGGGGCCTAAAAGAGGGTGTGGATTTACGTCACGCTCGGCTGTTGTAGAATGACGACCACCTCCATAGTTGTGGAGTAGATACCTATGGGTTGTTTAAACAAGGAAAGTTTAGTTGGTGTAGACTCGTTTTGCTGTTGTAGAATGACGACCACCTCCACTTATATTCCGCTCCAAACTCCTTATCGCGCTGCCCACGAAGTTGCTTCAAATTCCTCGTCGACGTAGCAGTCCTAACGTCTAAGGTTCAAAAGGTTGTATCATGTGTGTTTCAAATTTTGGATTTGTTGTCATTATGGGGGGGGTAAAGTTGGTTAGAGCGACACAAGTTAGGATCCCACGATTCTCTCGTTCCGGTACCACTATTTTCTTTTGAACTTATTTAGCTTAAACAAGTTGTGAAACTCATTTAAACCGAGGAGATCTCGTTAGCAACCATGGGTTACCTCCTCCGAGGGACTCACGTAAATTCAAATGTACGTGTTATGCTTTTGTTTTGTTGTTTTTTTTTGTTTTGAAAATATTGTTTAATTTTTGAAAAACCGTTTTGTTTTGAAAATGAAATAGCAATTAGTATCTGGATGATGTGTTAGAGTAAGAGTAAATTGCAATGATAAAACAACAACAAATAAAATATACATGTGCATATGTCGTATCGGTTGTTGATGCAATGTCAGCATCATATGTGAAAATAAACAAATATAACTGAGGATTTAATGAGTATATCAAATATGAGCTTCAGCAAGTAAAAGAACCGGTGACACAAAAGAGCTCCCACAACTCCAAACAACAGCTAGCAAGCCTAAACAACGGTCCAAAGCCCCGACCTCCTACAGCTCCAGACAACAACTAGCAAGCTTAAACGACGATCATAAGGCCTCCTACAGCTCCGGGCAGCAGCTAGGGAATCCCAACAACAGCTATTAATCACCAAACAACAATTCTAAGCTTCCGAACAACACTAGCTAGCACCAAATAGCAGTTTTAAACTTCTAATCAGCAGTTTTAAGCTTCTACACAGCACTCCCTAGCACCAAACAACACTTTTAATCACCAAACAGCAACTCTAAGCGTCTAAACAGCACTCCCTAGCACCAAACAGCATTTTTAAGCTTCTAAACAGCAATTCCTAGCACCAAACAGCAGTTTTAAGCTTCCAAACAACACCAAACAGCCATCCTAAGCGTCCGAACAACACCAAATAGCCATCCTAAGCTTCCGAACAGCACCAAACAGCAATCCTAAGCTTCCGAACAGCACCCTCAACGACTCCAAACAGCCATTTTACACTTCCAAACTGCAACCTATAGCTCTCAACGACTCCAAACTGCGATTTTACACTTCCAAACAGCAGCCTAGAAACTTCCTACAGCTTCCAACAGCGATCGACAACCTCAAACAACACTTATACAATCATTTCTTAGCCCAAAAAGCACTAAACAGCAGCCCACAACACTTGTAAGCTTTCGAACAGCACTTTCTAGCATTTTCTCAGCTCAAAACAGCATTAAACGACAATCCTAAGCTTCCTAAACAGCTCTCTTAGCGAGTCCAAGACAATATTTTAATCTTTCCGAAACAGTGAACATGCAGCCATAAAAATGGTTATTAAATCCTTTACAAGATCACCAAGAATATCGGGTAGAAAAAAAAAAGCCCTCAAAGCTTGTCTAAAACAATTAAACAAAATCATGTCAAATCGACCCATGTGCGGTCCCAAAATAGTGTATAAATCCTAAAGATGCAAACACGTGTTTCTCATTAAGCAATGGAAACACTTCTTATGTAGAATTAAGGGTTCGGGTGGTGTAAAGAGAAAGTTTAAATTTCAGATATGTTAAAATATAAGAGTGGTGTGGTATGCATGTAAATCGTAAATCTTCCTAAAAAAAACAATTCAGGTAGGCAAGCTCATTTAATAGACATAAGGCTCTTTATGATTTTGATAAGAAAAGATCCCATAATGACGGAAGATTTCAATCGTCACCAATCTTTTAATCATGCTTAGTTGTTTATCACACTATAATGATATTC